CTCTCTCTCTCTCTCTCTCCCACTTTTCATCCACATTCTTTCTTACTTTTTACACTCTCTCTCTATGCTTCTTTGACTCTCCTCCATCGTCACCCTCTGAGTTCCTTTGTACGCTGTGACTAATTTGCTGTGAACCAGGCTCTTTTCACACATGTGTTGACTGAGACACAGAGCTTTTTGTGAACCATCCATTCCTGAGAACTGAAAGGGAATTGTCCATAGCAGAGAATTATGTTTCCTCTGACTGTCATGCATTTATGAGCTTCACTGGATTGCCAAATTCCAGTCACATGCCAGCCTTTTTGTACATGTGCATTTATTATGTGGTTAAAGCAGTTCGCATGTTCTTGACACTTTGCAGCCCCTCCCTCTGTGACAAGCCCGCCAGAAGAGTCCGTTCAGGCAGCGCGGGGGGCGACGGTGACGTTCACCTGTCAGGCTGTCGGAGTGCCAACACCCATCATCACCTGGAGACTCAACTGGGGACACATTCCTGTCAGCGGCAGGTGGGTTTGATGAGAAATTGTCCACACTTCCTGACTTCTTATTACTGTAATTAAAACTAACGTACAAACTAAACTAACTGATTTTGACAGTATTACAGATTATTCATTGTTTATGGAAAATGCTGTCCAAATAATCTGACATCTTTGGAAGTGATATGTGCTAGATGTTAAAATTGATTTTTGTTTGTTGCTACTTTCGGAAAAAACATGTCTTTGCACAAGCTGTCTCAAAACATCTGCATCTGCTGAAAGCCAGTCTTGCCTAATTGATTAACAGCAGACCATGAGGATTTGAAAATGACTATGAATTTGTCTCGTCTTCTTCTGTTTACACCTGACGTGTGATGATTGCTCTTTGAGGCCACAGCATAACCGTTGACAGCCCTGTTAGATTAGTGTTTCTATGCTGACTCATAATTGTATTCAGATCTGTGATTTTAATTACTGAGATATTTGTGGTGTGCTCCAACTCCAAAAGTTGCTGTTTCAGAATGTTTCTTCTTGGCATAGTCTGTTGTGTGCATGATTTGGCAATCACATAAATTTTATGTATTTCTGCACATTGTTACAGTCAGAATCAGAAACAGAAGGGTTCCTTTTAAGGTCTACACCATAGCTGGCAAAGACTCTCAGTTAATTACTGTAAAAGGTATAATTTGAGCTGCATTTATGTGTTCCCCAGGATCTCCATGACCAGCGAGAACGGCCGTGGCACCCTGATCATTCGTGATGTGAAGGAGGCGGATCAGGGGGCGTACACCTGTGAGGCAATCAACGCCAAAGGCCTGGTGTTTGGTATCCCTGATGGAGTGTTAACTCTCACATCGAATCCAAATCCAGGTACTGACACATCAATCACCACAAGAAACACTGTGTTTTAGTTACATTAAGAGTATACTGTATATTGACTTGTTTCCTGTGTCTTTTCTTGTTCTCTGGAGGCAACTGTCCTGATGGTCACTTCAGTGTGGAGGGCCGCTGTGTCTCCTGCTTCTGTGCTGGAATCACCAAGAACTGCAAGGGCACCGGTCGCTATCGCAACAGGATCAGCCTGCGTTTCACTGACGAGGAAGACTTCAAAGGCACTGAAGCTATTGATGCTTATGAAACCGATAGACAGATAGCAGAGCTAATTCACAACTGAAATACCTTTAAAAGTTTGTATAGTTGGACACATTTAGATCATAAACTAGTCTAAGTGCGTCTTTTTTTCTTATTTCCAGGAGTGAATGTCACCTACCCCTCCAGGCCCGGCACTCCTCCTCTCTCATCCACTCAGCTTCTCATTAACCCTGAGATGGAAGAGTTCCAGCTCGTCGACCTGTCACGTCGTTTCCTCAACCTTGACTCTTTCTGGACCTTGCCTCGCCAGTTCCTGGGCAACAAGGTAGAGAGTTAAATTATTTACAGACTTTATTTTACTTAACTAATTATCACACCTAAATATGAAAATAATTTAATCTATTTTCAGATTGACTCTTATGGAGGATCCCTGAAGTTCAAGGTGCGGTACACATTGGCCCGTGGTCTGTCTGAGGTTGTGGAGAAGCCGGATGTAATGCTGGTTGGAAATGGTCGCAGGCTTGTGTACCGCAGAGGCAGCGCCACCCCTGCCCGAGTGGTCAACCAGAAGGAGATCAAATTCACTGAAGTAGGTTTTTGGTTAAGAAAACTTCTTCTAGCAAAAACAATTGCAGAATCTGCACAATCCTGTGGTGAAATTGCAATGATTATATGTAATTCTTTCAAAAAGATAATACAAAAATGCTGTAGAGTATAAAGAAAGAATAGTTCGAAAACTGCACAAATTTTGACCAAATTTTTACTTATTTGACTCATTGTAGCGTATAAATCCAGAGCTATATAGTCCCCTATTAAATGTGTAAATGTACACACAACAGTAAACCTGCTCGTTATTGTCTCAGGATAACTGGCAGCACTCCAATGGCCGCCCTGTGAGCAGGGAGGAGCTGATGATGACGCTGGCCAACCTGGACAACATCAGCATCCGCACCATCTACGACAACCACATGGTGAGCGTGGCACTAAGTGACATTGTGATGGATACCACCACTGTGGAGTTCAGCACTCTGGGTCATGCTAAGGATGTTGAAGAGTGCAGGTAAGAAAATACAAGCAAATCCTGAAGTAAAGATTCCAGCATGATACTGTGGGGTTGAGTGAGATGGGAGGTCTTCACAAGCTGTCAGTCACAAAAGTCTATAATCAAAGCAACCTGTTGGGACGTGTCCAGCATGTGCATATTTAGAGTGAAAAGTGCTGCACAATAATACGGTTACATTCATATGTGTAATGTAATTAAATCAATACAAAGATTTTGAGGCACGGCTTGGTGTCCATGCCCCAAAATGTAAGTCCCAGGTTCAGTTGCATGTAATTCCCTCCTCTCCCTACTTGTGTTTTTTGGCATTTTCTCCACTGTTACTATCTAATAAAACACAAAATACAGAAAAAATGTTTAAAAATGCGGCTTTAGTCAGCTGTTTTTCATTTACGACATTAGCAAAGTTTGCAGTTTATGGTGTTGTAATTGGACTCGTCATAGTTGTGTCATCAAAACAGTTGGATTGAAACCCTGCTTGATGAGACCCATACTTATCATCCCCAGATGTCCCCCTGGATATTCAGGCCTGTCCTGTGAGATGTGTTCCGCTGGTTTCGAGCGTGTCCCCGGTGGCTCCTATCTTGGCACCTGTGCTGGTTGTAACTGCAATGGACATGCCAGCGCCTGTGATCCAATCAACGGACACTGTCTGGTAATAGCTAACTCCTTCTTGGCAAGAATGGCTGTCAGTCCCTTATGATAAAATTGGGATTTGTGGATAATCACGTCCTGACTGTACACCATTAAAAAGTTTAGCCTGTTGAACATAACAGATGTTTGTCATTTTAAAGGCAATACTCTTATTTGCGTTCTTGCCAAGAGTTAGTTGACGCTTGAGTTTGTACGCCAAAAATGAAGTTAAAGTCAGCAGACAATTGGCTCAGCATAGAATAAAGACTGGAAACAGCTAGTCTGTAAAAACACAACTTGTTGTTTTCATGTTTGTATGAATTACCAAAACAAGATATAACTTGTTAATTAATTAAATTTAGAGGCTAAGGCTAGCTGTTTCCCCTTGCTTCCAGTATTT